TGTTTGGGCCGGCACCATCGCGTTGTTCAGCTTGCTATAAGCATGAACTAGACGTTACTTTCCGTTCGGCTTCCGAACGCAGAAAGTCGGCGTCGAGTGCGGGGATTGACTCCCGCACCATGCCTGCCTTCGCTTCCGAGGCGAAGAAGGCATCAATGACCTCGCACTGTTCGCGCGGGAGAGGCCATTGCCTCGTGACACAATACTTTGTGCCAGGCACGAGATCAATATCATGCCGTACTCCTCGATCCGGTGGGAGTTGGGTCGGTGGGTGTTTGTTCACCACGTCCGCATACTCCGTCACCAAATAATACACCGGATCATTGGGGTCTTAACGATCTCAGAACCCACGCGGGCCTGACGCTGCTTGTATAGATCTTCCAGGACGTTCTCGTCCAAGACAGAGGAGGAGTTCAGCTCCTCCCGAGTGGTCTCAGGTCTCATGAGCACCATCTCATCCGTCTTTCCAGCCTTGAGGTTAACCAGGAAAGACTCAACCGTCATTTCCTCGAGGTTCAGTATCTCCGCAACCTCTGGCAACGGTTCCAAGTGGACACCAGATGCCTTGACGGGTAAACCGGTCTCGCTATCGAAGTGGTGATAGCACTCCTCCACCGGCCTTGTCGGAGGAGCCCGGTCCCTGGACTCCGAGTCGCTTGAGGCGACGTCGATCTGAACGAAGTTCGGATCCGACTTGAGGCGGCGGCGGCGTCGTCGTCGACGGCGACCGTGACGTGAAGCTTTGCTGTCCACGTCTGGGGATGTCGGCGCTGTGACATCCGAGGTACTCGTGGTCTCGTGTGGTACTGTGGTACCCACACGAAAGCGTGTTCGACGCCTTCCTCTTCAGTTAAGGTCTGGGCGACCGCGTGTGGCACTGTGTTATCCACACAGGAAGTGTATCCGACGTCTTTCTCTTCAGTTAAGGTCTGGGCGACCGTGAGTGGAGCTCTGTTACCCACTCTGAACACGCTTTTCTCAGTGCTCGTGACAGCTGCAGCTGTCTGCGGAGCTAAGCTACCCGCTTGTGGACCTAACTTACCCACTTGGCCAGCGTCTCCTCTGGGCGCTGCCACCATCAAAACATCCTCGGAGTCGTCATATACGTCGACGACTTCCAAGCATCTGCCGGATGCTTTGGTACCCTGGCAGCCCTTGCGGGCGCCCCGGGTCCTGACAGAGGTGGGAACATGACTCACCAATGCTCTGTCGGACTGCGCAGGGCGGCTGGCACCGATTGCCTTGCCTCGCCAGTCGATCCTGGGCTCGTGCTTCTCAAGCCAGGGCATGACCAGGATCATATCATATGGATCCATATCGAGAATAGTGAACTGTTCGAGGCTGTCAAAGTCTTCAAACTTGACGGCCAGATCCACTTGGACATTGGGTACAGTGACGACCTTCCCGTCAGCCAGTCGCACTGACACCGTCCCGTTGCCCTTGCTTTCTCTCAAAGCATCGGACAACTTGTTGCTATTACGAGCAACTGTCTGGCGGCGTGCGAAGTTCTTCGACGCCCCAGAATCGATCAAGATTCTAAAGGGATGATCGTATCCCCGTACACGACCGTGTACTACGAGCAACCCGCCGCTGCTCTTCGCCGATTCGAGAGTGCGAAGACTCTCAGGGGCTAAGTCCCCGCGGTATGCGCCACCCGCGCACCCATCACGAAGACTTAGTTCTTCCCCAGTAGGGCGCCCCGCCCCTACTGGCTTCCGGCTTCCCCCTGTCCCCGAAATCCTGGCTTCTGCCAGCAACCCTTGAGGACGGGCTTGAAAAAAGACCGTCTGCGGAGTCTTTTCGCGGGACAGTCGCGCTTGAAGTGGACCATCTTCCCGCAGCCGAAGCAGCGGATGTCACGCTGTTCGGCGGACCCGAGTTCCATGAGGACTGGTCCATTGGGGCTTGTTCGACCGGGAGCCGACGAGGAACTCCCATGCCACGCTGAGGCCGGCGTACGTGCCTGGCGATGACTGTACTCTTCTTGAAGAGCCACTTGAATCGCCTCTTCAAAGGTGCTTGACTGAACATGGAACAGCTGAGTGCGCGCGGGGCCCACTCGAAGGCCGTCCATGAAGACAGTGTTCGTTGAGTGGGTTTCCCACTAGGGACGCCGTGAGTTCCCGTATCTCTGGCACGTACTCGTGCAGCTCACGCCTCCCTTGTTTACACGAGAGGAAGCGCGAACGCTGGCGGTACTCGTAATTCGCCGGGAGGAACGCGGCTCGGAGCTGTTCACACAGCTGAGCCCAGGAAGTGAAACATCCAGGGAATGTTGCCTCCCGTGTATACACCCAGCTCTTAGCACGGCCGCTAAGGCTGGAGAGTGCAAAAGCAACACGAAGTTGCTCGGTCGAGATCAGAGCCACGTCCATCGCGAGCTCTACTTCTCGGACCCAGAAGTGAAGGTTCTCGCCTTCCTTCCCTTCATACGGCTTAACCTTCAGCCGTATTGGCTTCGGGTGAGGCGGATTTGCTTCCGCCGCCGGAGCCTGCAGGTTCTCCCGCACATGCGCGATGAGCCCCTGCTCGTACGCGTCAAACGCATTGACGCGCTCGAGCTGCTCGGCCGGTGTTGACACCACCAGGCTCTGCAGGGCCTCCATGCCGAAGATGCCTGCCATCTTCCGAACCGACTCGAGCTGAGAGTCGTTCATATGGAAGAAGTCGTTCCTATCCATGACAACGAACTTCGGAGAGGTTCAGGTAGTCTACCCGCGGTGGCGTGGATTGACTACGAGTTCTACCAAGTGTGACGGGGTCACACAGCACCTTGCGCTGAGGAAGTTAGCTTCCTAGAGTATACAAACTCTCAGTGAACGGCAGCTCACTGGTCCCCTCTTTATTCAAAAGAGAGCGAAGTGGCCTAATTAAGGTAGAATGCAAACTGAGTATATTTATAGGTAGATAAAGCTTGGGTTTAATACAAACTATAAGTCACCTATAGAAATGCAATGTCATCAACCAATGGTTGGCTTTGAACGCCTTGGTACTTTGTACCAAATATCCCGAAATATGACGTGTCACACTTCATGTAACCAGGGTACACTTAGGGCTACGTACCCCGTTACAAAATTTGAGTATAAGACCGGAAAGTCAAGAACGACGTTCCAACGAGAGCAGGATAAAATCTCGAAACGAAAGGCAAAAGAAGCAGGGGCAGCGAAACGAGAAAGAGAGAGTGGAGACGGCATCTAGAAAGCGGGGCAGGATGGTAAGAAAGAGTTCGGCGACAGCAGTTCCGTCGACCCAAGACAGTCATATCGTAATGTCCGTAGTTCTATGAGATGAGATGCACGGTACTCCGTAGTAAAAGTAGTTGGCCCGAAATATGTCGCTTGGGGTATCGATGACATACAAAAATATATATGTATTGAAAAGTGGCCCGAAATATGTCCACTACGGTTATGTATTGTAAAATTCAGCATTGCAATGATTTATCCAAGGGTCCGATAAATAGCAATATCATTTTCGGAGCGTTAAATAGTGCCCTGTGTAATCGTAAAAATACGCTAGGGCCGTTGACCTCGAAAGAAATCAAGTGTGAAAATGATCAAGGCTTCTCCGAAGCTCTCATTTCAGCTGTGAAAGACCCATAAGCAGATCCGATATTAATAGAACGAAGCTAGGAGCAGTGGTACTGAAGAGACAGGCGTTGCGCCCTTTGTTAGAAATCTTGAAGGAGCTTCGTTGATGGCTGAGTAAAAATATGATTCGTTGTTCTCTCACTTGTGCTTTTGCAATCCAGTGCCTATTTAAGTCTGTAAAATGGCGCAGCAAAAAGGTCCCCGCCAAGTAACCTGGCTCCCGTTGCTTGTTCTCATTTGTTTGTCGTGCTCCATTGTGACGTCTCAGACTGTTGGTGAGCACAAATGCTTGTCAAAAAGCGCATTCTCGCACCTCGTATTTATACTTTATTGCTCATTCTAGGCGATGATTCTTCCGATGCAGGGTCTAACAACAACAGTGCTAGCTCTCCAAGTACAACTACACCTGCTACAGCGGCGCCAGCATCCACGTCTGTCCCTGCAGCTACAACCCTACCTCCTACGACTGCGCCGACGGCATCGCCCGCAACCGAAACACCACCGACAAGTACTAATACGTCCACTGCAAGCACAGTATCACCCTCTGGTTCAGCTTTAGAGACGTCAATCCCGACACCAACGACAAAGACACCAGCAGCTACTACGTCACCCACCACAGCCCCAGCACCTACCTTGACAGCTCCAAGTACAACGTCTGACTCAGACACGTCGTCTGCTTTCACAGCTGCAGCTCCTGTGGTCAAACAATACTACTCGTCAACGTTGCCCCCCGGTGTGAACTCAAGTGTACTAAACGGCTCAGATCTCGTCAATGTCGAAGTCACGGAGACAAGGATGGGAAATGGAAGCACATCGTTCGACTACGTTATTGTCACAGCTTCTGGCGAAACCGAGCGAGTGATCGTGTTGAGGCCAACTCAACCAGCAGCAGCAGTGAAGATACATCAGATCGATCTGGTGGCTCTCGTGCAGAGACCGACACATCGTCTGGTTCCCTGGGGCTCGGTGTGATCATCGGCATCATCGTCGGGACTCTAGTACTTTTTGTACTGCTTGCTGTGTTCATCATCATGCAGCGTCGCCGCTCGCGATGATCCTTCCGATACTGTCTTAGATACAGTGGAGAAGCGAATGCAGCTTCTAGATCGAGAACAGTCACTGATTGACACAGAGTACGACGAATCCACCCGAACTATTGGCTATTCACCAGGCTCTGGAGCACCAATATCAAATAGTAGGCGACACAGGGGCACGTTATGGGAACATCCCGTGATAGTAGCGTCGAGGATCCCAGTCGATCGCATCGAGATGGGAGAAATCATCAGTCATGGAGCCTTCGGCTTGGTATACCGTGGACGATTTCGAGGTCGAGACGTAGCAATCAAGACGTTGCTTCCGGAAAAGCGAAAGGATATGGCTCAAATTCGGATGTTTTTATCCGAGGTGAAGCTCATGGCGACCATGGAACATCCCAACATCGTGAGGTTCATCGGTGTGGCGTGGGAATCTTTGAGTGAATTGTACTGTGTGTCCGAATTCATGAGTGGCGGCGACCTGCGATCCTTGTTGCAAAACTACCTCGCTACTGGCACCCCTCAGGGAATGAACGTCAGTAAAATACAGATCGCTTACGGCGTGGCGTTTGCCTTGACGTATTTGCACTCGCTGGATCCTGCGGTGCTGCATCGCGACCTTAAGTCCCGTAACATATTGCTGACAGAGTCCTTGACGGCTAAAATCACAGACTTCGGCACCTCGCGAATCCGTTCCGATGGCTCCATGACTTCAAACGTGGGGAGTTCACTGTGGATGGCACCCGAAGTGATGATGGGGAGACGCTACGACGAGAAGGCGGATGTGTTTTCTTTTGGTGTGGTCATCTCGGAGCTGGATACGCATGAATTGCCGTACTCGCATGTCAACAAGAGGGGTCGCCCACTTCCGGAAACAGCAGTGCTTCAGATGGTCTCGATGGGCAGACTCCAAGTACATTTTTCGCCATCCATGGACCAGGAGATTCGCCAATTCATCGAACGGTGTGTGGACGTAAATCCTTGCGAACGTCCGACAGCCGCCGAGGTGCTTTATTTCCTGCAAGTACTGATGCGGGACCAGCGGTAATGAGAGTGGAACGTATCGAAAAACACTGAACACGGTTGTTTGAGGCACATCGCAAAAATAAAACAAGTCAACTGCGTCAACAAAAATTCACTGTATTCTTTCACTTTCCAACGTCTGCAGCTTTTACCTTTTTCGGATACCGATTATTTGGTTGTAAAGCGAGCTCATAGGCATCTTCGACATCGACGCAGCAATTTGCTTACCATTTTGCCGAGAAAAATAACATCCCCGACTAATTAAAATAAGTGGGGCATGTTACTTAAACCTCGTTCAATGTAAGAAATGGGATTTCCTGAGTTTTCAAGAGGTAGAGCAGCCAGCCTCCCTGGAGTGCATCATTTTAATGCATGGAACACTATTTGGTACGGTGAGCTCGGTCAAACATCCTTGATTATAAAGGAACATCCATTGACAACTTGTCAATGACAAGCAGCACTGTTACAGTATTCCGGCACTGCTATCACCGCACCCAATCAACTTGTATACGCTCGGCGCTCACAATCTGGTTCGCCGCGCTCTCGATGGTGCCATGCCCAGGGCAACTTCAACTTGCGTTGATCGATGCCGCTGTTGTCCTTTTTTTGGCGCTCAAGACCCATGGGCTCATGGGCCACAATTGGTCTTACAAAACCCAAGTTATTTCTTACCCACACTTGAACTTGTCGAAGCCTGTGGAGATCCGAGACCGTCACTTTTGATTCCTGTGAACACTGCGAACCTCGCCACCTTGCTGGAGCTATGCTGGCCGCTAGACGTCTTCGCGTGCTTCGCCAGCCTCTTGTGCGTGGCTGTCTTCTGTATGCAACTTTGCATATGATGTCTGACGTTTAATTGGTGCAATATCCGCAGCTCCAGACCCGATGGATGAGTGCGCTAGTGGAGGAAGCGGCCTCTCCGATCCTCACGCCCGCCGCGCGTAAACTGGCCTTCACGGAAGAGCTGAAGCAGGCGCGCAAGCGGGCACTTGAAGGAGGCGGTGCTGAGCGTGTGGCCAAGCAGCACGAAAAAGGCAAGCTCACGGCTCGCGAGCGCATCGAGCTGCTACTGGACACGGGCACTTTTCGCGAGTATGACATGCTTAAGTCTCACCGTTGCTCGGACTTCGGCATGGAAAAGCAACAATACCCCGGCGACGGTGTTGTCACTGGTCGAGGACTCATCAATGGCCGCCTCACCTTCGTCTTCAGCCAGGATTTCACCGTCTTTGGTGGAAGTTTGTCCGAGACGTACGCAGAGAAGATCGTTAAGATCATGCAGAAGGCCATGCAGCTGGGAGCGCCCGTGATTGGACTCAATGACTCGGGCGGTGCACGGATCCAAGAAGGAGTAGCGTCTCTGGCTGGCTATGCTGACATCTTCCAGCTGAATGTACTGGCGTCTGGTGTTATCCCTCAGCTTACGATGGTCATGGGACCTTGTGCTGGTGGTGCAGTGTACTCGCCTGCTATGACCGACTACATCTTCATGTGCCGCGACTCGTCGTACATGTTTGTGACTGGCCCGGATGTGGTGAAGACTGTGACCAACGAAGAGGTGACGCAGGAAGAACTGGGTGGCGCTGCTACGCACACCAAGACTTCTGGTGTGGCACACTGTGCGTTTGACAACGATGTGGAAGCTATTCGCGAGATGCGTCGCTTCTTTGACTTTTTGCCGCTTAATAACAAGGAGAAGCCGCCAGTGCGCAAGTCGGACGACGACCGCAACCGCCCCGTGCCCACGCTCGAGAGTATTGTGCCACCGGACCCGAACGTGCCGTACAACATGAAGGATATTATCCATCAGATCGTGGACTCGTTCGACTTTTTCGAGATCATGCCCGACTACGCCAAGAATATCATTGTTGGATTCGGTCGCATGGAGGGCCGTGTGGTGGGTATCCTCGCGAACCAGCCCATGGAGCTCGCTGGCTGCTTGGATATTAATTCATCTGTCAAGGGTGCACGCTTCGTGCGCTTCTGCGATGCTTTCAACATTCCCATTGTGACGCTCGTGGATGTTCCTGGCTTCCTGCCTGGCACGGACCAGGAATATGGTGGAATCATTCGTCACGGCGCTAAGTTGTTGTATGCATATGCCGAGGCGACGGTGCCCAAGATTACAATCATTACGCGCAAGGCTTATGGTGGAGCCTATGACGTAATGAGCTCCAAGCACCTCCGCGGTGACATCAACTACGCGTATGTGGCTTCGTAGTCTTTGCTGAGTTTGGTTGCACTAACACTTAATTATTTGTACTGTTTTGTGTAGGTGGCCGTCGGCTGAGATCGCCGTGATGGGAGCCAAGGGAGCGGTGGAAATCATTTTCCGCGGCCAGAATGTGGAGGAGAACACTGCCGATTACGAGAAGAAGTTCGCCAACCCCATGGTACGCTTGATTATGTTTGTGTTGCGCTCCTACTACTACAAACGAGCTTGCTGATGTCCCGTACATTGTCACCGTTTGCTCGCAGGTCGCTGCCCAACGTGGATTCGTGGACGACATCATCGAGCCTGTGAGCACTCGTCGTCATATTTGCGAGGATCTAGATGTGCTGGAAACCAAGGACGTCAAGAACCCATGGAAGAAGCACGGCAACATTCCGCTGTAGGTTCAAGCACCGCTATACACTCATCCGTCTACAGGTCGCCTCAAACCCTATAATCCGTTTCAATTCATCTTGCCAAAATCGTTCTTAAAGTCAAACGCACTTGTGATAACGAATACCCTTCTCCCTACGATATTTCCTGTAAAAAGTGAGCTTCTGTCAGCCGATCTTTTCATCATTTCCGCATCCGCTTCGTGAAGCTCAAGACCATCACTCCGATTTCCGCACTCGACACCACCATGGTCAAGCTGTCATTGTCTCCGCGCACCCCGCAGACCGTAGACGCGTTCCTTCAGTTCGTCAACAAGAGCCCGAGCCCGTTTCACGCTGTCTACGAGACCGTGCAGACGCTTACTGCAGCCGGCTTCAAGCAGCTGCGCGAGGAGGACTCGTGGAAGGATGCCGTGCAGCCCAACGGTAAGTACTACGTGACGCGCAACCAATCGGCCATTGTGGCCTTCGCTGTCGGCGGCAAGTACCAGCGCGGCAATGGTTTCCACGTCATCGGCGCGCACACCGACAGCCCGTGCCTCAAGGTCAAGCCAGTATCCAACATCGAGTCGCAGGGCTGGCTTCAGGTGGGTGTCGAGACGTACGGCGGTGGTCTTTTCCACACGTGGTTCGACCGCGACTTGGGCCTCGCTGGCCGTGTCATCGTGCGCGAGAGCGACTCGAGCTTCAAGTCTAAGCTGCTGTTGGTGAATCGTCCCATTATGCGCATCCCCACGCTTGCGATCCACCTGGACCGTAAGGTATCGGAGGGATTCACCTTCAACAAGGAGACTCACCTCCGCCCCGTGATCGCGTCGGCCGCTCGTGCTGAGCTGGAGGCCACGACCGATGGCAAGGATCAGCCGAAGTCTAAACACGCGTCCGTGCTGCTGCAGCTCATCGCCAAGGAGCTGGACATCAAGATCGACCAGATCTGCGATTTCGAGCTGTGTTTGTTTGATACCCAGGGAGCCAATGTGGGCGGAGTGCTCGAGGAGTTTATCTTCTCGCCCAGACTGGACAACTTGTGCTGCTCGTGGCTCGCCACGCAGTCGCTGATTAAGTCGCTGGATAACCTTGCGGACGACGAGAACGTCCGTGTAGCAGCACTGTTTGACAATGAAGAGGTGGGATCGCAGTCGCTTATGGGTGCTGGATCAAACTTCATGCAGTCCGTGGCGGAGCGTGTGGCACAGGGCGAGCTGTGTGGCGCCGCGGCCAGGAAGTCGTTCATGGTGTCGGCTGACATGGCTCACGGTGTGCATCCGAACTACAGTGACAGACACGAGCAGAACCACCGTCCTGCTCTGCATGCTGGGCCTGTGATTAAGCACAACGCCAACGAACGTTACGCCACTAGCGGCACTTCCTCATTCTTGATGAAAGAGCTAGCTCGGCGTCACAACGTCGACATTCAGGAATTTGTGGTGCGTCAGGACACTGGTTGTGGTTCGACTATTGGCCCCATTCTGTCGACCAACACGGGCATCCGCACGATCGATGTGGGTCTTGCCCAACTGAGTATGCACAGTATCCGTGAAATGTGTGGCACAGAGGACCTGGTCAAGACGCTGGACTGGTTTACAGCCTTCTACTCAGAGTTCTCGTCTCTCGACAAGTGCCTCAAGACCGACTAAACCTGTGCTGATTGAAATAGGAAGTTGCAAGCACGCCTGAACATGAATGCTGGTAACTCTGATTGAATTACTCCTTGTTCGTGTTGGAAACGAAGATCTTTATTGGGCCATGTTGTTTTTGCTTCAGGATGTCTAATAAGTTAGTTATTTCTGGCAGATTGGGAGCGATGCTCCCTCATCAGGAACATGAGTGCATTGGTCCACAGCTCACGTGTAGCTTCCGAGTCTGCTTCTAGGTCGAGACGACGATCCTCCGCGACAACGGAAAAACAACGACCGATAGCCTTATCTGTGACCAACTCAAAAAGCAAGTTAGCGAGTTGCACTTGCATTGTTTGTACGTGAAAGCTTGCTTACCCTCGGACAAGTGCTTCATGAAAGCGTAGCGTGTGCGTGTGGAGTTTCCAGGCAGAACGGATATCATCGAGTCCACCGAGATGCCATCTTTTGTAAGGTTACTCTTCTTGTTGAGCGGTCTCCAATATACCGAGTCGAAGTCTTTCGAGCACCAGACAAATCGTCGATGAGGATTTCCCCACTGCCCGTATTTCTTGAAGACACCGCCTTCCAGTAGAATACTCTCGAAAAACATTTTTTCGTCTTCTTTGCGCAGTGAAGCCTTCGCAAGTGGTGAAGGCGGTGGTGATGACGAGATAAAATTCATTCGCAGTTGCAGGCTTGGGCTGCGTGGGGGCGTCGCTTGTCTTGTGTCGATCGCCGGTATCTCAAACGGAGTACAAGTACTCAATTTACTCCCTAGTTTTTCCAGCAATTTGACTGATGCTGGATCACTTATAATTACAGGTTCCACCACCCGTTCCTCCTCGATCCCGTCAGCGATGGTCAAATGATCCAAAGGTAGGTCCGTTGTTCTGCTAAGGTCGGTGAGTTGTTCAACCGACATCTCATCGAGGAGTCTTTCTCTATTGCTCAGATCGTCATTAGCGCTGATAGCATTTCGAAGAAATGCGTTACGTACAAGCCGATCAAGTGCCTCCCGCCCGCGTCCACTGCCATTTGGTACGTTTTTGTCGCTGAAAGGCGATGTAGATGAAAACGGGGCCGAAGATACTCGACGAGACGTATTGTCCACAAAGGGAGCCCCTGTGCTGCAGACAATAGCTTCAGTGCCAGTAGAAAGCCCAGCTGCTGCGGGTACAGTGGACGACACCATCTTTTGCGGCGATCCCATATACCCAATCGTAGTATCGAGCGTCAGATAATCTGGCGATCCTTCGTAGCGCCACATATCGAGAAACTTATTGTTAAACGCTACACTGCCAGAGTAAAACTTTGAGGCATGCATCGCTGTCGAGCCGTGATTTTTCAGGATCTCCAGCACTCGTGACCGCGACAATCCTCGACTAAGGTGGTGAAATACCCCCTTTACGCAGTGGATTGTCTTGAGCGACGTTGTCTTTGAGAATGTTGTTAGTCCAATGCGTCCCAGAGCATCGAGAAATGCTGAGACCCCCATGCACATACGCCCCACTTGGTTTTGCGGAAAGGTGTAGGCTATAGCACCCTCAATGCTTTCAAGAATTCGCTGAATTGCCGCTACGCCATTGCTGCCACCAGCCCCTTCTGAACTGGACACACTTTCTCCAGTCTGTGAGCCGGATTCATTGCAGTCCGCAGATTGTGCTTTCTCACTATTAGCTGCTGTGTCGAAAAGGGCTCCGTGGAAAGGAGGACTTGAGCAAGATGCCAAGAAAACGTGCGCGGCCTCAACACTTGAAAGCTGCAGATTGGCGAAGCAAAAGTCGTTAATAAATCTCTGGTAGTCCGCATAGGACATGTAGAACTCCCGGACTCCCGACGCATTCGTACTCTTGGCGTAGAACATGAAAATCTCCACCAGCGACTCCAGAAATTTCGACATAAAGGACACGATTTCAGGTCTTCGTAGACGCTGGGTGTGTTGCAGCCAAGTGTTGGTCGGCCAACGAGCGGCCAAAGGCAGAATATGTTCCGTCATCAATCTCTGGAATAGCTCGTCTTCCTTGTCACTGTCACACAAGAGCTTGCTGGAGTTGGCTCGGTTTCCCTTTGTGTGAGCTGCTCTTGCCACTTTCACGAGCGCGTTTAGAAATTCCTCATAGTTCATCTTGCCGGATGTCTGTGGCTTCCCTTTAGTCTCCGAGGTGTAAATAATGTCGACCATCGCTGGTGTCAAGTGTCCTCCATAGACTCGTGAATCTCGTAAGAGTTTGTTGAACTGATGCGCTTTCAAGTACTCCAGTTCCATACTGTCACCATTTACGCAGTAGAAAGTAAAAATTCGCCACAGTTCTTCCACAGGATTTGTAGCAGGGGCTGAGAGCATCGAGTCAGCAAAAGTCACGTCAGGTTCTGATGCTGACAATGCCCGCCGCAATCTAAACGAAGAGTCTGATTGACTTGTTCTCGAGAGACTCATCGCCTGAGGTAGCGGTAATGCGAGCGTTGAAGCTGAAATTGCACGTCGTGAGCTTGGTCGTTTATCTTTACCGCCTGCTGCAACGCTCATGGCATCTTTCAGACTGACGCTGCTTGTGACTCTGGCCGCGATTGTGCCCCCTTTGTATTCGAGGATGATTCCATTGCTGTGAAGATCTTCCACACTCATTAATGAGAGAATCTTGGCTTGTTCCGGCCACAAACAACCTTCTCCGTCAACTAATGCGACCTCGCTAGCAGCGATATTCCAGTATCGAGCAGCATCACGTCGTAGTTGCTGGAATGTGTAGTCCTCAGTAACCCACACATGAAATTCTTCTCCAGAAGCCGTACGCACGCACACCTTCTCCGACGAGCCGGACGATGGATTTGTACTCGCTAAAGACCCTGCTGTACTCATGGTTTCTCGTCGCGGCGATGATAACGGGGACGGTGTTGGCCCTCGGCGAGCATGTTGCTCGCGAATTCTCACCAAAGGATAGAAGGATGAAATGTTCTGAGTTTCCTCTTGTCGTGCGCTAACAGGGACACCATCATCCAGGACAAATTGAAACTCGGCCGGTGCGTCTTCGACATTCTCCCAAATGAGCGTCCGCGCCTCGAGGAGCGTCATTCCGTCGTGGACGTCGATAAAGCCGATTACACCTTTCCGCTCAAGAGCTACTCGGATAATATCCGTCACATGGCGCTTGTGCGTACGTCCAAACGCCTCAGGCGACATCATCCTGCTCGACAGGCCACGCCAGAATGTCAGTAGAATGAAAAACGCCTCTCTACGCGCTCCCTAGACTGACCATCAACAGTGAGCTCAATACCAAAAGCACCGTCGAGGATGAAGCTGTTCAAACGGCCACTAAAAATACGAACCGTGCAGATCTGCATTCCGTGGAAAATAGCCCTGTGACCAACAAGAATTGAGCAGAGATTCATGAGTTCTCTTTTCTTAGCACAAATAGTGGGCACATATGCCGAGTTAGTCGCTGAGAGCTGCGTTGTCTTTTTTTGTTCCTTGTTGAAGTTCCTCCCGAAGGTTTAATGAGAGATGAAACTTATTCTTTCTTCTCCGTCACTGCCGTCGCGGACGGGTACAGGATCAGCTCCTGATCCTTTTCCAGCGGCTTGAAGAACGCCTCCACCTCCTTAGTCGTCACCTTGGTGATGTCGCGCTTTGACCACTTCGGGTTGCGATCTTTGTCCACAACAACCGAACGCACACCCTCGAAAAAGTCCGGGTTCTCCATCATACGCGTAGCCATGCGGTACTCCATCTGGAAGCACTCGGCGCACGTCTTGACGGCTCCCTGTCGCATCTGCTCCAGCGTGACCTTCAGACTCAGCGGCGACATCTTCTTGAGCGTCGCGAGAGTCTCCTGTGACCACTCTGTGTTCAGCTTCTGCTCATAATAAAAAAATACGCGCTCTTTGTTAGAAAACGCAGTCTAAATGATCCGATTCTTGACACTACAAAACTTACCTCCAGACGCTCGAAGATGCCTTCCATTGTGTCGTTCTCATTAAGAGCACCGAACACCGACTCAACCGTCTCGAGGTACTCTGGATTGTTACACAGATCGTGACGTAAGCATTTGCAACTTCAACCTAATTTTTCTCAAATCGCAACTCACCCGGGTCAATCTCCTGGAAAGCCTCGTCCGTCTCAAGTTCCTCCAGAGCCTCGTGAATCATTTCATCGCGTTCCTCCTGAGGCACGTGGTCTGCGAACTCGAGGCCTGTCAGGTGGTGCACCAGCGTCTCGTACTCGTTCGTGGGCAGGTAGTGGGTAGCAAGTCCCAGACCAATAACCTCGTGGCCCTTAAGACGCTCACCCGTCAGCGCAAGATATGTGCCCAGCTGGAGTCACAGCACCAACAGTTAATCTTTTTAAATGAAAGGTACTTTCCCTTCCAAATACGTCACTTACACCCTGGCCCTTAAGCGCCTGCGACTTGGGCACGTCAGCCACGTAGTCCTCACCCTCAATGAGACGGCGTCCGAGACGCGGAAGTAGGAACGAGGCACCGACGTCCGGGAAAAAACCGATGGCCGTCTCGGGCATAGCAAACAACGTCTTCTCAGTGGCCACCACGAACTTGCCGTGCATTGACAGACCCACGCCGCCTCCCATAGTGACACCGTTGAGGAAGGAAATGATGGGCTTCTCGGTGGTCGCCAGAAGGTAGTTGAGGCGGTATTCGTGACGGAAAAAGTCAAGCGAGACGTGACGCGTAGCTGGATCTTTGCCATGGTCGGCTAGCGCGCGAATGTCGCCACCAGCGCAGAAAGCCTTACCCCCGTTACCAGAAAAAACGACGGCGTTGACCGTCTTGTTGGCCTCTATCTTGTGCAGACGCTGCGTCAGGTGGATCGCCATGGGGAGCGTCAGCGCGTTGAGCTTCTCCGGTCGGTTGAACTGCACTGTGCGCACGCCCGTATCCTGGCCATACACGATATCCGAGAATTCTGGCGTCTTTGTGGAGTAGGCGGCACTGCTCTGGGCTGCCGTGCGCACAGGGCGCTGCAGCAGCCGCAGTCGCATCGCCATCACACGCTGCATGCTTAATGCCGACTCGACGCTAATTTGCTTGTGACCTCGTTGGATCCGAGACAAAGGAAACGTGTGGTGCAAATGCCTTTCAGCGATATTATTGGGTGAAAATGGCCGATTTTAGCCTATAAAAACAAGGTCAACCTACTCGACCATCATTCTTCCAATTCCGCACTGGAGCGCCATGGGCGAGGAGGAAGTGGAGCTAGACTTGCCTTGGAAGGCGGCGCTAGACGACGAAACGTTCGCGGATCTGGGATATGCTACGCACGCTACGAGCTCCATGAGTCTGGAGCCGAGTCAGAGACAAGAACATCCGCCCAGCCAGCCACCGAGCACTGGTGCAAGCACCACCCAGCGGTTCAAGCGCAAGAACTTTAGTAAACAACTGCAGCTGTTAAGTCTACAACGCTATGCTCAATATGCGAAGGACTTTGGCCGGATCCCGGATAAACAAGAGACGCAGCAACTTTTGCAGCAGAGTCACCTGCAGTTTCTTAAAGAGGGCGGCGAACCCGATGAACCCAAGCCGACTTACGCCGAGTTTTTAAAGCTTATAAGAAATCGACGCAGCGAGATTAATGCAAGGGCACAACGCCCGCCTAAACAGATCAAAGACGATCAAGAGGCGTCCAAGAAAGCGGCGCTGACACCCGCTAAAAGGAAGTTAGAAGAGGAAAGAGCCAAGATCCGCGAGTTTATTGAGATTATTGACAGAACGCGGGAGCAGACAGGGTTGATACCAGATCCGCAACACCAGAATCGACGTGTAAGACCACTGCATTCGGCGCAGCACCAGACAACAGTTGATATGGTAATGGTGCCTGGGATGGAAGGCTTGCCATCGCTGACTCCAGACCCGATGGAGCAAATGGAAGCCATTTTACAGATTCACCAAGAAACGCGTGAAGTTCAACGTGAAATTGCGGCCAGATTGCGAACAATTAGTCGCGTCATCAGACAGCATGAAGGCCATGGAGATATGGAGGAGCCATCCAGTGCCAGCGTGTGAAGACGAAGGCACTGTGAAGGTGTTACGTTATTATTCCTTGGTCTTGCGTCCACTCTATCAAGGCTAATGAACGCGTTTATAGTGGCGCAAACATGTGGCGACAATGATGCGGAATTAAAAGCCGACAAAGTACTCGTCTCCTTGTCCATCAAAGACTCGATCTTTGGCTCGGTTTCCGATTTCCCCTTCGAAGAGCGAGATGTCGTACTTGCCGCTGATGGGAGGTAGGTAGGGTGGCTCTAGATTCATGCTGTATAGCTTGTCCCATTCTATCCTGCTGAACCAGGGGTGCTGTCGCAGCTCCTGGTCACCATTGATGCCTACGCCGATACGCTTCGTGGGGTCTCCTTGCAGTAAACGACGCACAAGATCGCACGCGTGCGGACAGTTCTCTAGTAGGTGGAATGGGAAGTCCACCGAGTTGGTACCTGTTCGAATCATGGCGATGTTGCGGAATAGTTGCGTGGTGTCGCCATCACCAGTGCCGAACGGCGTGTAGCCGACCAGCATCTCGTAGATCAAGATGCCAAGTGCCCCTGCAATCCACAAAAGCAATGTTAGTGTATGTTCGTGATCAGCGAATTAAAAGGGGACTTACAGTAGTCTACGGCGAGATCGTGGCCTGTGTTAAGGACAAACTCAGGTGCGAGGTACTCCAGTGTCCCGCATAGCGTGAAAGTGCGCGAGTGGACTTCTTCAATGCCCTCGCTGTTAACTACTATGAATGGGATCTTCTTAGCGAAGCCGAAGTCGACGAACTTGAGGTAACCTTCACGACTGATCAGCAAGTTCTCGGGTTTAAGGTCTCGGTATGCATAGTCATATCGATGCATGTGTTGGAGACCGAGAACTGCGTTTGCTGAATAGAATCGAACGGACGACTCGTCAACAGTCTCGATGAACTCTTCATTGTGAAGCAGCGTGAAGAGCTCTCCACCTTGCACCAACTCCATCAGCATATATAAATTATTCGCGTCCTATTGCAGCAAGCGGTCATGTTAATACCGGGTTGCAGCGATCGATATGAATCGATAGACCAGTGCATACCTGATAGGTGGCGTACAGGTCTACTATGAATGGATGCTGTGGAATTGTCATCAGAATCTGCTTTTCGCGCATGACTTGGACTTGCTGGTCGGATTCGATGATGTGAGATTTGGCCATGATCTTGAGAGCCATTGGTTGCTCCTCTGCGCCGTCCAAAAGTGCATGAACCATCACAACTTTGCCAAAGGAACCTTCACCCAACACGCCCGCCTGTGGAAATGAAGCAATTTACGGAGTCAAGGACACATACAAGATCCGGTATACCGGCCAACGGAGTTGGAGCCTTACCACTCGAATGTCGTCCAGCGTAAGAGTGCAGCTTTTAATTCGACCCTGCTCTCCCATGTTTACGCGCTGGAAGAGGAAAACAACAACCGTTAATCGAGGTTCGACTTGCATCGATTGGTTTCACAATGGAAATTACTTGAGTGAACTGACGGGATCCAGACCGAGCAAGAGATGACACCTTTAGACGCTGGCACTGTGATCGACCCGCTGAGATGACTGTACAAGAATACTTGTCAGCCTGTTCGAATACTTCTCCGCCGAACGTATCGTTGGCTTTCAGCAGAAGCTCTTCTGTCACGAGATTGTTGTTGCCGTCGTGGCGCTTCTTGATGACCTTGACACAGCCGGATTTGACAATGTAAAATGCTACAGCTGTATCGCCTTGTCGGAAGATGCACTGAGAGTCTTGGAAGGCTTTAATCTCGAGCTGCGAAACAGCGTAGTCGAGGGCTTCTTGAGACTTGGTTGCAAACGCGGGAATTGTTCGCAAGATGCGAATGCGGCTGTTGCGGTCCAACACGTCAGTGAGTGGGCCAAGGATAGAGTCGAATTCCTGTCGCCCGAGACTAAGGCATTTTACGCTACCTTTAGCGTAAATACTTGCGTTACGAGGCATGTCACTGAGCAGTGCCATCTCGCCAAAGTAATCGCCTGGACCCAAGATAGCAAGCTCAGTCCTCATCGCATCAGAGTGTTTAAACCCTCGAGGGCCTTCCATCTGACAGGATACATTGCCCTCCTCCACAATGAAGAAAGTGTCTCCCACGTCGCCTTGGTTGATGATCATCTCGCCATCGGAGTATGTCACAGCGCTCAGGACTCCTGCTAACAGAGCAAGCTGTCGTTCTGACAGACTGGCGAGGATTTCGACCTGACGCAGCCACTTGGCACGTTTCACGAGTGAATCACTGGATGATCGCGCCTGCATCATACGGAACTCGTCACGGTCGAGTGTCCACAAAATCGAGTTCGTAGCAGCGCGAACGGTGGCTGCTCGAGGGGCTGAAGTTTGCAAGACAAATAAGTTTAAATGGTGACAAAGGGAATGGAAGAGGAAACCTCAGACTTACCGTCATAGATAAGTGCCAGTTCGCCGAAGTGATCTCCCGGTTTCAGATATCCTAGAACAGCGGTGTTGACGATGACCTCAAGAGACCCTGAATGCACAACGTAAAACTGGTCGCCGAGGTCTCCCTGTTTGATCACGTTCTGCTCGGCTTCGACCTTGATTCTCTTCATGAGGAATAGAAGCCGGTCCATTTCTTCGTCGCTCGAGTCGGTGAAGAGGACACACTGTAGTGCTTTCTTGAGCATGGCAGCACACTCTGGGGTTTTTGATTCGGATTGCCGCTTGGGCAGCGTGTCTCTGGTTACATCCTACCGTATCAAGCACAAGACTGTTAGGGCTTTCTCCTGCAACTGTGAACGGTGATAGATGGCAGATCGTACCAAGCCTTTCGAGTACACGACTTCGCGCTTCTTTCGTTGAGGGTCGGATGAACGCCGATAAAGTCCTCGGCCGTTGGCAGGTGCCGACTTTGGGGCGTTGGGGTCTCGAGGAGCATAGGCTGTTTTACAAATCTGCTTCATGCGCTCAAAGATGACTTCGTTGCCGAGCTCCTCAGTTGCCATTTGATCGTACTCTCTCTGGATCGCACTGAACAAGGCGAGATCCCCAGCGATACGCGGAGTCAAGTCCGATTCCTTTTCTCGTGGTGACGCCGACGCTCCAGCACCCATCGTTGACAACAAACCTATCTGGAGATGCCAGCTGAAGTTGATGACGATGAGCGAAAGGATATTTCCACACGGTTCTCTGTGGTGCTGACTTCAAAGTGAACTGCAGGTGGGGCGAGGAGTTTGAATCCAAATGCAGACGAGCTCATTGAGACCTCAAACCTGACGGGTCTTTATTTGGCTAACTTTCCCGCAAGACGAAAACAATTAAAGCGTACTACGTACCAAAGAAGATATATTAATACGTGGCCAGCCGCACCGTACGGCGTCCATTGTGAAAGCCACCAAGTTGGGCAGTTTAACTCAGAATTCGTCGCATGCTAAGGTGCATCTGTTGTAGGGCGATACGACAGTGCGGGGTACGAATACCACCTAGGAGTATGACCTAAAAGGTTTCACCTATGCAGCACGAACAACAGATTCTAGTATCGAGTGCTATCGAGTTCTCATATTAGTTTAGAAAAAGTTCACGGACGCAACAAAAAAGCAAAATCAAAGCCTACAGCTCCAAAGGCGTCTGCCTTGACTTACTCAGGGGCGTTGGTCGTGTAGTAAGTAATACAAACAAAGATCCCAAAGGCACGCAAACGATGGCCCGGGGATTTAATACACGTGACACGCCTCAAGTCGAAGCTTTTGTGTCGAAGGCTGCACATAGTCTGCTCCAAAATTGTGCTGGTATCTGATCGATCTTGAACGTCAGAAAATGGGGTCACCACGGCATGTCTGTATGGCCATGAATTTGCGGTCAAACCGCAGTATCGTCAACTTAAATCCAGTCGCCTTCACTGTCATCGCTGTCGTACTCGCTGTCGCTGTCGAAGAATGTGGAGCTCGATGAGCTGTGCGTGTTGGTTGTGCCATTCGTGTGCACAATTGGCCTTGCCACTGGTGCCGAGCCATCCGGGAACGAGTTCGAGTGGTTGTACGAGCTGGAAGAGGAGAACTGCGAGGACAACCCCGACGAAATGTATGAGTCGTCAAGAGACGAGGACGAACGCTTCTCGTACACTGTACGTCGCTGCGGCATCTCGGGCGTTTCCACCGCTGATCCTCTGGGTTTCGACGGCACGGATGCCAACGAGTGTCGCATTCCGGCGTTCCTGTTGTTGTAATGCTGGATATTCTGCTGCTGCTTCATTCTCGTCGGTGAAGGTCCTCCGATCGACGACGCACGGAAGGAGCTACGTGCCGCTAGAGATTGACGCACGTTGGTCATCTCGGCGTTTGCGGCCTCAATGGCGTCACTCAGTTTGCAGAGCCAGAGTTCCATATCTTTGCTGTTTCTGGTCGAGACTCGCAGTATTCGCCCGTTATCGAACGAAATATCCAGTCCGTTGGTCACTGTTCCGTTCACCTCTACAGCTCGCACATGGCCGTAGCCCTTGGCGGCGGCTCCAGTGTCTTCGGAATTAAAGTACGAAAGCGCGTTTCCACGCAGCACAAAGTAGCGGCGTTTCCAGCTCTTGACACGAGCTCCTTCCTTCTTAAGCCAACCAAAGTGAGTCACCTGCTCACTGCCGCTGTCACTGAGCGGAAGAGACTCGAGACGGTCCAATAACTCCATCTCGTCGTCCACATCCACTGGTTTAGAGCTGGCGGCCGAGAGAGTTGAGAAGCGGTCGGGAGGCGCCGCTACGAACTGCTGCGGAGCTGCTGTGGTGGCGTCCAAGATCATGTTGTACCAGGCGCTGGTGGCCTCGGCCGACGCCGTGTAGAGCTTGAATACGCGACCGCCGCGGCCGTGCACCAGTAGCCCATTCTGGATGTCAGGGCTGAGTTCCACGGTTATGACCTGGAAGCTGCCTTTGGGCTTAACCGTAGGGTTCAGTTTGGACGTGTCGTAGTAAGTTAACTGTCGTCCACTAAGCACCATGAAGCGCTTCTTCCAGTTCTTGACCAGCGAGCCCTGTTTGTACACCCAACCGGAGTACTCGCTGTCGATGCCGTTGAGCGCCATGGTCTGTTTGCCTGTCGGTCTGTCGTTGCAAAAGGCACTGCGAACGCGCTTGCGATTGACTCGGAAAGGGGGGAGCGCTGGAATGCCTGAGTAGCTTGTTGACTGTTGGGCGGCCCCTCCCGCACTTTTTTTTCTTTTTTCCGCACTCGAAAAATCAAAGCAGTCAGGAACAAGGTATACGTATACAAAAGGGTGTATTCGCATGTCTCGCCATGCGATTTACATGTATTTCCACCATGAGATCCATCTTCCATCAACATCCACCCGACATATAATTCAAGTTTTATTATTATTGCTGTGAACGCAAAAATTGCAGCGGGAAAAATGGGCCAAGGAAATTATTATGATATGTATACATCTCCAAAAATCCAGTGATTCTAAAATTTCTGGACTCAAAACACGAATACGAACGCCAGTACAAATCCCGAATGGGTTCAGTCGCTCTTTGCGCAAATATCTGGACAATAATGCCACACCGTCTCATATCAGGGTCGTTTCAATGTGTACATCGCCAAGTTATATGCACACACCACAATTAACGAAGCAAAACAGTAGACTCGTGTTTATATATATATCATGCATTCGCGAGCTTACTCCCGCATCATTTTTTTCGACTCGTCTTACATGACGACGCAGCAGCAGGCAGCTTTTGGGTTCTCGGCGTCTGATTTGCTGGGTGGACGCATAAGTACCGTGTTCTCCTTCATCATCGCTTCTCGACGTTCCTCTTCCAACTCTTCTTGCAACAGCTTTTCCGCCAGCCGCATGCGGCGGATCGTGGTGGTGCCCGGAGCTGTGGGCGAGTACGGCTTCTCGTTGTTGTCCTCGCTCTCGCGCTCCTCCGCGACCTCGATGAAGCTGGCCGTGTTGTCGGGCATGCTTTCCACCACAATGTGCGTCTAAATGAGCTGGCAGCGTACAGTTCCG